GTAACTCACTCCGCATCTTTATTTCCTCTCAAACATTTTACGATCACAAAATCAATATCACTTTGACTTAAGTTTGAAATGGAACTCGCTGAAAATGATCTAATTAATGTTATTGTTTGTTTGCCAATCTCTCGTCTCTATTAACAATAATGGTGAAAGTTTATATATTTTCCGGGCTCTCTCCATTCTCTTCCGCAAAGCAATATCGGTTCTTTCTTCTGGAATTTGTTTTTTAACGTCATCAAAACGTGATATATCCATCAAATCGCTGATATTCTGACTTCCGAGCATGATATCAGCCGTAGATTCTACCTCTTTCTTGCAATCGGGTCTCGGACATGTTGGACTAGTTTTGATGGAACTTTCAATACAAAGAAGGGAGTGTTGTGATGTTGGAAGTTAATTGTACTTTGTGGTAGAAGAAAGAGGTTGGAAAGTATAGGAACTTAAATTTCTATTATTGTTGTCTATTTGAATATATGAAATGATTAAACTAGAAGATCCAGTTAGTATAGTATTATTGTGAGAGTTCATGATTGAGAGATTTTTCTATTTGATCCATTCTGTATACAAGAGTTTGTTGTTCATTATTCATAACTGAAAGTTAAGTATTAAGTGTAAAGTTTGTTTGAGTTGAATGATTTCTTTTTCTTTTTCATCTAAAAGTGTATTAAGATATTTTTGTGATTGTAAAGAAACTGATTCTTTTAATTTTTGGAATTAATAGAATTGAGTTGTTAATTAAAGTTGAACAAGTCTTCTTTGAGTTTGTTGATTTCTTTATTATATTGATATTTTTTGTTGATGTTATTGATATTTTCTTGAAAAAGTAATGGATTTGTATTTATTATATTCTATAATTTTTGTATTAGTTTTTCTTGTGATTTTGTTAATTGTAATATATTAGAAAAATCTGTGAATTTGATATTATTAAGAAGAGTCTTTTTGTAGTTAAGCATTATTATGATCACACTCTTGGTGAATATTATTATAATATAAATATTCAACCAATATCTAATAATAGTAATTTTACAACTACTTAATCTTGTTATAATTAGTATACTTTAGGATCATTATACAGTGTGTTTTTTTCTATTTATTAAATAGTCTCTCAATATTACTAATAAATATTATATTTACTTAATATAAAATAGTTCTATAATAATATAGTGCTAATATTTTATAGCAACTTGATAATTGTCCAATAGTGTACAATAAATACAAGTAATTAATATACAAATTTCATTAATAATAAATAATAAACAATTTATTAACTAGCTAGATTTTGTAATGATTAATTGATACCTTTTTCAAGATCTCAATATTGCTTTATTTATAATAAATATTTTTTACTAATAAATATTATATTAATGATAAATTATATGAGAATTATAAAAATAATAACATTAAAATTTCATCTAATTAATTTATATATAAAAATTATAAAAAATATAAAATTTATGATATTTTTAAAGTTTTTAGAGTTTTTTAAAAGATTATAAGAATTATGAAAATTATAGAAATTTCAACTATAATATTTTCTCTTCTTTTTAAAATTGAATTCCATATTAATTATAATTAGTTTTGAATTAATAAAGTTAATTATTCTAATTGTATTTGATCTAATTGACACAGTTTTTTATAAGTTTACTTTTACTAGTAATAATTTTCTAAAATATTAGAAAAGATATGAAAAAGTCATTTTGCTAATTATATGCATTTTTTTAGTGAACTTAAATAAGAATTTTCTTTCATTAACTGAAGTTAACTTATTTTATTATTCTTTATTTTTCTCAATTCATTTTCTATCTTCTAAAAAAATATAGTTTTTCTCTATTTTTTGTCTATAAGTAAAAAATAGTCTTTACAATTCTTTGATTTTTTCTTTGAGTAAATTTTTTTGTATGATAAAAATTTATAGTGCTCTTTCTTTTTTTTTCTCCATATCTTTTTCAGTTGTTGTTTATTAATTTTTTTTATTTTTTTTATTAAATTAAAGAGTTTTTTCTTTATTAATTGTTTTATTATTATAATATTTTTTAATTATTTCATTTGTTTTGATTTTTTCTACTCATATTTTTTCTATTAATAGTGTTATAAATTGTGATTTTGCTAAGTTAATTGTAAAAGTTATATTTGGAAAGTTTTCTTTACTTTTGTAACTAATTCATTAACTAATTATCAAGTTTTCATTATTTCATTAACTTTATTGATAGTAGAGTTCTGAAAAAAAGTTTGATTTGGTTCAAGCTTGAATCAGACTTGAACCTAATGAAAAGTCCAGTTTGAAAATTTGAACCTAATTAAAAGTCTGATTCGAGTTCAGTTCAAATTTTGAATCTAACTTAAACCTGACCAAAAGTTTAGTTCAAGTTCAAGTAATTGTTAGTTGATGTTCTCAGTAAAGTTATAGATCATAACATGAGCTACAAATCAATATAAGATAGTTAATATTTAGAATAAATATTTAAGAAGTTATATGAATTTAAAAAATAATTTTAATTATTATAAT